TTTTTTGGTTTTTCTCCAGTACCGGGAACCGAACTCACGACCTTGCGCTTGCCAGGCAGGCGCTTTTGCCGCTGAGCTAAATCCCCAGCCCCCTGTATTAGTTACTCTTATATGAACTATTATCATCATCAAAATTATTTTTGTCATCATTATTGGTGGTCATAGTAATCTTGCAGTAACAAAAATGAACTCAATAATCAAGGTCGGTTTAACTACTTCAGAGAACAGTAGACCTAAAGCCTCCTTTATTTAGGGTTTTGGACCATTACAAAAGCAAAAGACAGTACTGCAAAGGAAAATTAATAGGCTTGACCATGCAAAATTAAAATTTCTAAAAGGCCAAAAATTATTATAAATGAAAAGGCAAATGACAAAACATACCTACAATATATAAAATGTGTATGTTCTTATTCTATAAATATCAAATAAAACAATGAAAAAAATCAAAATCTCCTGTGCTCTAATGGCACTTGATGCATATGTGGAATATATCTTCAAAATTTATCTTATTGATGGAATTATTTAAAATTTATTCTCTTAGCCAGGCATGGTGGTGCACACCTGTAATACCAGCATCTCAGGAGGCTGACGCAGGAGGACTTTTGCGAGTTCGAGACCAGCCTGGGCTACAAAGTGAGTTCAAGGCCAGCCTGAACTGCATAGTGAGACCCTGTCTCAAAAAGACAAAAAAAATTTATTCTCTCATTCTGGGGTACAATCACAACAACACAGATAGTATCTTTTATTCATCTATATATCTCCAATTCTTAGGCAAGAGTGTACATTTTAAAGCTTAGTTAAGTGAAAGAACAAAACAGGCAAATAATAAGTTCCTTTTAATTGAACCCAAACATTGTTTTTAAGGTAGATTCCACCAAATTGAACCATGAATAATTATAATCATGGCTCAATCACTGTGTTGAGGCGTCCTGCCTCTCTCTGTTCTGATTTGTATACTGATGGACCCCTCCATAAACAGGGAAGTCAATCAATGAATGTTCCTCACATTATGATGTGGTTATGCCCATTAAAACTATCATAAATTGAAAATATTCTAAGTTGAAAATGCATTTAATATGCCTAACACGGATCAGCCAGGCATTGTAGGGCATGCCTGTAACCCCAGCACTTGAAGGCTGAAGCAGGAGGATCATCTTGAGCTCAAGGCTAGGTTGGAGTTCAAGGGCAGCCTGATCTGTGTAGTGAGACCCTGTCTCTTTCTCTCTCTTTCTCTCTCTCTCTCTCTCTCTCTCTCTCTCTCTCTTTCCCACACACACACACACACACACACACACACACGCACGCACAAAGTACAGTTTCATCTGAACACGTACTGCTTTCACACTACTGTAAAGTAAAAATAAAAACTTCAATGTTAAACCTTAAGTCAGGACCATTTGTATAAGCATCATGAAAGAAGACTATGGTAAACAGCTCTTGGGAAAGTGCCACCTCTTCTCTGTGCTCAGCTCTTCATCCTACAAATCTATGCACTGGAAGTCAAGTTATGACAACAGGACTATCCAAAAGATACCTACCACAGGCAAATCTCCATCATCTTCCTCCTCCTTTTCTGGTTTTGTGGTAGAGATAGCTGTCCAGCTCACGTCATCATCAACAATCCGCATTCTAAATGGGAACAATAAAATGATCAAAAAGGAAAACAACACTTATTTATTGGCTTAAAAGTGATATTAAAAACCCTTCATGGTCCAGTCTTTGTTTATATGGACCACTTCATCCCATGCCAATACCCTCTCAATTTACCTTCCCTGGTCATCTCCGGGTGCCTGGAATGAGTCAAGTTCCTAACCATGACAGTTTTTGCAAATGCAGCTCCTTCCCACTGCTGATCTACTTTTCCACTCATTCTTTATCAGGAGATTCCTACTCATCCTTCAGGTTCTAGCATAAATATAATAAATTCCTTGGGTGTATCTTCCTTGCCTACCCTCTCCCTAATCCCAGGATAACAAACCCTGCAGCACACTCTTGGAATACTTTCATTCTATCTATCACAAAACAATAAAATCAGTTAGTTGTATAATTAGTTGTGATAAGCTTGTATTCTCATAAAAACTATAAGCTCCATCCAAAAAGCAGTAAGCATTCTTACTCAGAGAGGCATCCTTGACATCTTGCAGTAACTGGCAGAGGAAGTAGTCAGCCCCCTACATCCATGGCTTCCGCCTCCATGGATTCAACCAACCACACATTGAAAATATTCAGGAGAAAAAAACTGTTATCTGTATTAAACAGGTACAGACTGTCATTATTCCAAAAATAATACAGTATGACGACTGATAGAACATTTTATATTGTGGTTGATATTGTAAATAATCTGAACATGATTTAGAAGATGAATATGGGTTATACACAAATGCTGTGCCATTTTATGTAAGAAACCCCAGTACACACGTACCTTGGGAACCAACTGCTAAATTACTGAAGGTTGATTTTATTCAATAAATATTTGTTATATGGACGAACCTATGATATAAAAAGTTATTATATAAAAACCTAGAAACACTTAAAACCTCTCTAATCACAACAAGCATTTGATATTATGGTTTGTGTCTAGATGTCCACCCTCGTGCAGTCATGGGCTTTTTAGAAGTGGCTGAATCTAGAGTTCGTAATTGAAAGAAGCTTGTTCTCTCTCTCTCTCTCTCTCTCTCTCTCTCTCTGATTATGGGCTGAAACCTCTACAAACTGTGAGCTAAATAAATCTTTCCTCCTTCCATTTTGGGCGGCAGGTATTTTGTCTAAGCAATGAGAGAAAAGTAATTAAGACAAATATAAACAGTACTGTTCAGTATTACCCTCACTTTGAAGATCAGAAAACAAACTCAGAACGACAAAATATCTTGCCAAGGCCACCCGGCCTATAAAGAGGCATAGCTAGGATTCAAACTCTGATCAGGATTGTTCCAGAGCTCAGAAGTACTTCCACTGCATGGCACTGCCTCCAAAACATCCACACAAATCAGAGAAAAAGAAGACAGCAAGAATAAAGAAAGAATCAAAATATAAAAGAAAACAGACTAGTTCTTTGGAAGAATCCAATTTCACTGGATGTTTCCCAGGGCTGCCTATGGCTTCAAATAATAGCAATATATTCTCTCAATTTTGGATAGCAGAAGTTGAAATCAAGTCCAAATCAAGATATGTACAAGGCCATGCTCCATAAAAGCCTGTTGGAGCTTTTTTTGAGATAGAGTCTCACTAAATCACTAAATTGCTGAAGTTTTGCTCGAACTTGTGATCCTCCTGCCTCAGCCTCACAGTTTTATGAGGTTTACAAACCTGTGCCACCAGAGTGGACTCTTTCCTTGCTAGCTTAGGCCAACCTTAACTTGTGGCAGCACGAATCTAATCCAGCTTCCACCTAATCTAATTCCAGCTTCCACACGGCAGTTTTATCTGAGAAAAAATTTCCTTCTTCTTCAAAGGACACAGTCATATTACATTCAGCACCCACCTTAATCACGGATGATCTCACCTTAAGGGGTACATCGGCAAAGATCCTATTTTCAGATAATGTCATTCTGAGATTCTCAATAGACAGGAACTGGGGGCAGGACAGCACTTTTCAACTCAGTACACCGGGCTGATAAATTTTCTCATTTGAAAAATGGGACCAGGGGGCTGGGGATTTAGCTCAGCGGCACAGCGCCTGCCTGGCAAGTGCAAGGTCGTGAGCTCGATCCCGGCACCGGAAAAAAAAACAAAACCAAAAAAAAAGAAAAATGGGAACAATAATACCTATTTCATGGTAGTGAGATGCTGAAAGTCACATATGTTCTAAGTCCTTAGAAAGGTGGCCAGCACACGGCAAGAAACGTCTACACGTTAGCTGCTAGGGTCAGCAAGCACAGGAGTAAGAGTCACAGATCTATGGGTCTTTGACTTAGAATCGGAGTCCCTGGGATTTGGGAGCCGCGAGGGCTGATTCTGCACCCTAAAAATCCGAGCGCACAGGCTTTGAATTAGACTCATCGGTTTCGGGGCACGACAGTGGACCTCTGCGAGAGAACGGAGCCTACAAACGCGGGAAAAGCGTAAGGAAAGTTACGGCCCGGCTGTAACACTCGGAGCTGCCCAGAGGCTCCCCTCCTGAAGACGGGAGCCACGAGCGAAAGCCGGAGCCTGGCAGCGCAGGGGAAGCCGGGCCGAGGCGGGGCCGGCGGGGCGGAGCGGGCGGAGGAGCGCGGCTGACCCACCCGGAGAGCGCGGCCGCGGCCGCGGGCGGGGTTGGAAGGAGAGGGGCGGCGAGCAGCCACAGACCCCGCCCCGCCGGGCCAACTCACCCCTTGCCACCGGCCCCTCCTGGCTTCGGCCGCTTTTTGCGCCGCTTGCGACCCGACGCGGGTCCCCCGTCGACGCTGGCATCTGTCCCGGACAGGTAACGCTTCAGGTACTCGGCCTTAGAGAGCGGCGGAGCTGCCGCCATAGCAGCACCGAAGGCGGGAAGACAGCTCGGCGTTGGGGACAAAATTCTTGAACGCGAAACAGAAGTCCCCGGCAGTAGGGGCGGGGCCAGAAGCGGAAGTGGCGGAGGTTGCTTAGAAGCGCTAGAAAGGCCAATGAGACTAGCTGGTAACGCGTTTGATTGCTACCCTGGAACGTTTGCGCCTCCGCAGTCCTGTCTGTATTTTACAACGAGGCAATCTCGTTCCTTGGTCCATCGTCCAACATTCTTGACGCTATACAAGCTGACCCAAACTGAACCAAACAAGTCCCTCGCCCCCAGCAGCTTCACATTGCCGGTGTAATAAACAAAGTAGACTCGTGTTTGGGTTTTTTGGATTTTTGAGTCAAGGTCTCACTGTGTAGGCCAGGCTGGTCTCGAACTCGCGGTCCTCCTGCCACAGCCCCCGGAGTGCTGAGATTACAGGCGTGCGCCATATATTTCCTAGCTGTACGACCTCCACCCAGTTTTTGTTTTTTTGTTTTTTAACAAAAGACAGGAGGATAGTAAGTAATGGTGTCCAACTCAGAATGGTTGCGAGGACTGGGATATTACTATACCGAGCGCTTAGAATAGCGGTACACAAGTTATCTTTTTATCCGTATGAACACCTTTAAATAGATGGGAATAGTTTTCTGGGCACATTGAAGAGAAGAAGTCAGGAATACCAAATCCAATATAATGACTATGAAGAACGCTGTAGGTGTCTCAAACCTGTGTAACTTCCTCACGTTTGATATTACTGACACCAAGTTATCTATTGAAGGAAATTGTGTACAGTGTTCCCAATGAAATGGTCATGGATTTGTTTACAGCATAACAAGGGAAGCTAGAGAGATTGAATTCCAGTATTCAAGCTTTGGGGGAGAAAACTTTGGGGGATGGGGCAACAGCTTTCTTTGAACCATTTACCCTTAAGAATTTTCAGATAGGTTTATTTTCCTTACTTTAAAGATGATAAAACAAGCTCCACCAGCTTAAAGTATATTTGTCAAATAGACATTGTTGTACTTTTTATGAATACATCTTCGTTATACGCTCAAAAATTTCTTATATACAAAACCAGCTTGGAGATGACTGCTTTGAAGCATGAATTTCTTCAGTGCTGGGGACTGTACCAGGACCTGGTACATGATAAGCAAGTGCTCTACCACGGAGCTGCACACCGAGCCCACAGCATAAGATTTTTAACCACTGGGCTACACTGGGTGGCTGCGGCACAGGCCAAAAAAGCAAAGCAGACTGTCTCTGAGGGCTTGTGAGAGGGACAGACACATTGGGTGAAAAAAAGTAAGATTTCACCAGTTGGAGGGCCTCACAGGTCTCCAATAAGGAACCCTGACTTGGTTTCTAGTACCCTTTGTGTACCAAATTGAATTCCACCCTGGTGTCAGTGGGCAGTTGGAAAGGGTCATAGATCTGCTCCAGTGAACATCGTACAGCCCTGCTGGCCCCCCACCAGCCCCACTCCTGCCTATTTCTGTTCCGTTCCACTCCACCCATTGACAGCCTCAGCCTGACAAGACCCAAACTCATGTCCCGACTCCATCACACAGGGCACTTAAGCAGGATCAGATGAGTACGTGCTTGGTGGACAGCCTGAGCTTTGCCCTTTCCCTGCAGTTGCAGCTAGTAAGACATATACAGCAATTATGGGCCTAAGTTCAAAACATCCAGAACTAGCCTGGCTTTGAAGCCTGCCCCAAAACTGTAATTCCTTCTGGAAATTACCCAACCTCTTTTAGGTTGTTTCCTTATCATAAACTGAGGATAATTTATAAATTTTTCCCAGAAAGGATTTAAAGCAAGCCCAGAATGACTGTGAGAATTCTGTAAGAGATTACATAAAGCCCTTCACAACTCCATCCCCACCAAACTTGTGCCAAGTGATGCCACTAGTGTGCCCAGCTTACAGACCAGGAAAGAGGGGCAATGCCCAACTGAATTCTGAGGTAGACATACAAAGTAAAGTATCAGCTCTATTCATAGGTGAAAGCTGCCATTTGCTATAAAGAGAAGTATGTAAAATGTTTTTAAAGTAAGAATAAAGCCAAGGAGTTTTAAATACCACTGCCCTAAATTTAAGCACAGGCTCCCTTTCCTGCAGTGTGCCAATAGGAACTGACAAGCCGCAGGTGCAGAGGGAGAGTAGGACAGAACTGTAACAAGTCTCACTACAGCTGAAGCTTTCACCCACCAGGTCAGGTGGCCCTCCTGCCTATTCCCACCTCACACACTCATCACAACAGGTGTATGTACATCCACTACCCATCTATGGTTCACAGGGCTAACGGACTCACCAAGTGTGGAGTATGAAGGAGAAGGCACATTCTTAGAAATGGACCTCATTCTAATCACAAAACTTTCTACTTAAATTTTATTCTTAAAGCTGTAACTGAGTCTACCTGAGTAGACTGAGTCTACCTTTTTCTTCTTTTGACTGCCTCACCTTCCCTGACCTTAGAGCAGGACTTTCTTTACCTTATTACCTACATATGTTATGTTACTTCTAGTGGCCTAACAGAGCTCGATCTAAAACAGACGATCCATAATCCGGGCAGGATAATGTACTTTACAACAGGTTTTATTAGCCACATACCACATGCTAGGGACTGTAGGACAAGACAGTTAACCAGATACGAGCTCCCCTCCTAACAAACTTTGAGAAAGGAGAATGAGTTGAGAAGTGATTCAAGAGAATGTTCTGGAGGATCCCAGGCCCTGGCCCTGGCCTCCGGTCCTCAGGCTGTGCAGTTCCAGAAACTCAGATTATCACTTCCCAGTAACTGGATGGAGTCTGGCAGTTATAAACCAGAGTACCATTTTGTTCCTTCACAATGGGAAACCTGGAATCAGGGGCCATCTTCATAAAGCAAATGTGCTCCTGGGAAAATCCATTCCAGACCAAATGAAAGATTAGAAAGCTGTCCAGTAAACTCAGATTCTCAAGTGAGTTGGGAACACAACTAGTCTCTTAAAATAGAATACCTGCACATAAGAAGCCTAATTAAAGTACTGTAGCTTTAAAGTTTGTGAGTTACTTGCTAACCTGAGTCTCTGAACTTCCTAAAACACCTTATTCTTAAAACACTTTACTTACTAAAATTTAGCCATACAGGTATGGGAACTAGCCCTACATAACAGTAAGATGTCAAACAACCCCAGATGGACAGGGATATGAAAACGGAATCTCAGGAAACAAATACCTTTGAGGAAGACAGGAAGCAGATGCCAAGTATGGAATGATCAAAGAGAAAATCCAAAGCTAAGGAAAGGGATGCAAAAGCTACTCCACTGAATGCAAGAGAAACAGAGTACAATGACTACATTTTACAAGTAGAAAGTGACTTGAGACCTTGGTGTGAATAATATGATTAGCAAGTTGCCGCAGTCCAGCTACAGCAGGTCCAGGAGATTCCTGCAGGAAGGAACAACACCGGTGAAGAGACAAACAACACAGACACCAGAGGTCCTTCTGGTGGGCCAGGGGAGCAAGGCTCCTCTGACACAGGAAGTGTTTTTTGCTTTATTATATACTTTTGCAATTACACAGGAGACCCTTAGATACAATGAGGTTTCTATTTTAGTTACAGATTCAGACATGGTTGACTGACTGTCTGGCGCAACCCTAGCAGGAAATCAACCTTTCTAAAGCACATAAAAGGAAGCAAAAAGATTAATCACTAGGTGTTCTCAATTAGGTATAATTTTTCATAGACTCGTTCACTTGTCTACTGGACAACAGGACCCACATTTACAGTATCTCCAGCTAGAGCCAGTCCAGCACACACGGGGCGTTCGCTTGTTTTCCCGTGCACTGAGGCCCGCGCAGCGCTCCCCTCCCGTTCCAGTGGGCAAACATTGTCACACAGGAGGTAGGGGATTGACGCAAATCTCTGTGGTGGCTTTTACTTCCCCTTTCAACCCTGGAGGGGTGCCTTTCATCCCGGGCTCTCATTCCTTAACTACTTTCAGTTCTGATCCTTCAGGTTCCTAAACATCCTTTATCAATAGCACAATGAATATTTGGAAAGCTGTGATTAACAGAGAGCAGAGGGAGAGGCCCACCCCATGCAGTCCCTGCTCTGCAGGCACCCTTGACCAGTCCTAACTTTGTCAAGGAACTGGCATTGGAAGGTTTCTGACAGCAAGTCATCTTGATGGTATTTCCAGTGGTCTTTACTGAATACCCGGCAGCCAGCACAGCAGGTGTCAGCTCTTGTCCCTGGGTCCTTCACTTCCTACCAACTACAGGCCGTCCCCAGCTTCCCTTACTCTACAGCACAGGGTTTTATTTGCAGTTCAATGCCTGCAAATCTCTTCCTCTGGCTACATGGGGTAAGGGAATAGCTTCCCTTACTTCCTTCTCAGCTCTGCCTAAATGTCAAACTGTCATCTCAATGACCTCTTCCCTGACCACTGTACATGAAACATCCACTCACCTACCAACCACCACCCACACCCATTCCCTGTCTTACCCTAATCACCATCTGACACGCTCTTCTGCTTAACCATCTCTCCACCAGTTTTGTTTTTGTCTTTTTGAGACAGGGTCTCGCTATGCAGTTCAGGCTGGCCTTGAGCTCACTTTGTAGCCCAGGCTGGTCTTGAACTCACAACAATCCTTCTGCCTCAGCTGGGATTGCAGGCGTGCACCACCATGCCTGGCCTCTCCACCAGTTTTTAAACTCCATGGAAGCAGATCTATTTTGTCCACTGTTCTGCGATGTGCCTGGCATAAAGTAGGCTGCAAACATCTGTTGAATGGATGAATTACATGCTAGCTCCAATCCCTAAGATAGTGGTCACATTGAGGAAAATGTTCTTGAGGAGGCTGAATTCCCACAGCATGATATCCAACAAGACAGTGAAATGAGAGACCAGTGTTGTTTGAAACCCAACATTTTAATAACTTCTTCACCTGTGCGGACTTCTCCCCTCAGAATTCCTTTGAAAAGCCAGGACTTTATATGCCCCAAACCAACTCCCAAACCCCACCTTTAGTTGCTTTTCATCTTTGCCAACTTCAGAGTTCCAACCCTAGAAGACAGAACACCATGGAGGGAAGGTGAAGAGATAGGAACAAAGTGATGACGACATGCTCTATTTCATTTCTGGGTTTCTTCCCAGATCAATTCAAAACCTCCAAAATAAGGTCAAGTAACACAACAGGCTTGCACTTGCATCGCAAGCTGTTTAGGAAGTCTTCCTAGATCTCCGACACCAGCCAGGGGTTCCCACCATGGGGGAGGGGGAGGGAGGACACTCCCAGCTTTATTCCAACAGTAATAAATAGTCCTGTGTAGGAGCAGCACTGGAACTGGCTGTCAGCAGCCCACCACTACCGCTGTGGGGACAGGCCTGCCTCATAGCCCTCCGTCTTCATGTCATTGAGTCCTAGCTCCTCGTTCTGGTCAAAGGTGCGCCTGTAATGCTCCACCTTCATCTCCGGATCATCTTCAGGTGCATACACGTTCTGCAAGGCCAAGGGCATACACAATCAGTGCCTGTGCCATCCTGCCATTCCCCCTGCTGAAGACAGCAGCCAACTTCTACTTTCCCGAGAACTCGGTGAGTTTTGTTCTCTCCTTTTAAAGAGTTTCCAATCCCCAATGCCTAGGCTGACCCAGTGGACAGCAACAGAGTGGGATAGCCGGGCCCCAAGCAGAATCAGGGAATGGTTATCCTAAAGCATTTTATATCTGCACCTTTCTTGAGAAAAGTGTGGCAACGGTCTTAATTGTGGAAAGAACTTAGAATAGTTTCACTTCACCCATAATAAATGTTCAATAAATGTTTAAGTTACATCAGTCACTAGACTCTCTTCAGCCAGCTTGAAGGCCTCATGGCTTTCCTATCTCAGCCCTTGGACAGGGTACCATTTTTTCTCATTTCACAGTCAGACCTGCAGAATGAAAACGCAGGAGCTTGACTATAGAAACAAAGAGGCCGAGAAGCATCCTACTTTTCCTTCTTTACACACACTTAAAATTCCTCTCAACTTCCCTCCTTTCTCCCTCATCCCTAACTTGACAAAAACTCCGTGATGAAAAGTAGTCCACTTGGCACCAATCTTTCAGTTTCTGGGGATATGATACATGTTTGAGGAAGGGCAAAAAACTGATTCTCCATGAGCATTTGGGAAGGTCTACCATACCTGCAAGTAACTGTTTCCTGCTGGGTCGTTCATAATAAAGTGGACCTTCATGCCGCCCTCAATGATCTACAGGAGAGAAAAAGAGCACAAGGAAACTTTACACACCTCCTGGTACAAAGAGGCTGTGACTGCCAGACAAGGGCCAACCCAATTTATCCTGCAGAATCCTCAGTTTAAGAACTGGAGGGACTGGGGATAGAGCTCGGCAGCACAGTGCGCCCTGGCAAGCAAGGTCATGAGTTCTATTCCCAGTACAAAAAGGAAAAAACAACTGGCAAAAATTGGGTACCACAGAAGTGAAGTAGAAAGGATCAAATGTAAGGTCTGCTCAAAAGCTATTCAAGAGGCCAAGTTGAGAGCAGAAGAATGAAGAATAAGGAGACTGAGTGAATGTACACCTACTGGAAATAAGCCCTCTTTCCCACACACAGTTCTCAGAACACTGCCAGCCACGTCTTCTTCCTCAGGACACAAAGGGAAACAGCCGCTGACAGGATAAGAGAAAAGCCCTAACAATGCTGGCACTCAGGCTGGGGTGGGGCTGCCTCAGCAAAATGGCTGAGCACCTCCTTCAGTGAGCCCCATGCCCAAAACAGTCACCCCCACCGGGCTTTTTAGTCCTCTTACTTGTACACAGACAATCAGTGATTACCAGACGTCTGAACAAGGCTCCTAACACTGACAGACGGAAAATCAAATGGGTTTAAAACAAAGGCGAATAACTTAAAATGGAAACTGGCCAAGGAGAATGGAGGAAAAAAAAAAACAAAAAACAAAAAAAAAACCCAACCTGCAGAATACTGCATCTTAAAACAGAATGCTATTTGAAAAAAGCATGAGGAGGATATTCAAAGACCAGGAAAAAAGGTTCTTACAAAGTAAAAATATGTTAATAAAAACAACTAAGTGAAAGGTGAGAAAACAAAGTTGAAGAAATCTCCCACGCTAGAGTGAAATACCAAGAAACTGAAACTGGTGTAAAAATAAGTAAATTCCAACAACCAGACAAGTAGGTCTACCACCTAACAGACAGAACAGAGACATTAGAAAAACAGACTATCTTCAAGAGAATGATTCAGGAAAGCTTGTTAGATTACTAGAACTGATTCACATGAGCTTTCCAGACTGCAAGAAGCCACCAAGTACTTAGCGCAGTGGTTGGAAGCTGATCCATATAAAGGCACATCATCAATTTCAGAGGACAGAGATATACATCTATAAAACAGATCACATAGTAAAGATAAGAAATCAAAATGGCTTCAGACTCCTCAAAAGCCAAACTAAAAAATGAAAGACAGTATTGCTATCCTCAAAGTTCTGATGAAAAAATTACTTCTCTCCTACAATTCTAATTCCAGCCAACAATCAATCTACTATGAGAGTAGAATAGAGAAATTTTCGAGTAATCTCAGTACTCTGGGAGGCTGAGGCAGGAGGATTACAAGTTCAGTCTCAGCAAGACCCTGTCTTACAAACTTCTGGCTCAGTACAAAAGCTCTGAATTCAATCTTCAGAAAGAAAGAAAGAAAAAGGCGAGGGAGGAGGAGAGGGGAAGGAAGGAGAAAAGAAATTTTCAGACACAGATCCTAGAAATTATATTTCCCTTTCTCAGAAGATGATCTAAGAAAATAAGGGAGAAAACTAAGAAAAAAGATGACATGAGACGTAGGAAACCAGAAGAGCCCCCAACATGATGGTTATGTGTTCAGAGCGGCAAGAAGTGGGTATGTCACCTTTTCACAGGAGCACTGGGACAAGTTCCAACTGGCGAATGTCCACTCACCTGGTCCAACTTCTGGCTAAACTCCTGCAATTTCTCCGACTGGCCAGAACTGGAACTGTCACCCAGTGTGAAAGGGTTCTTGGTCACCTACAATAAATGGCATGCAAATTGCTACAATACTCTACTGGCTTTGTGGTTATTGGGGTGGACCATAACCAGGCAGGGAATGGCAGTGGATTCCCAGATGGAGAAGATCACCCTTCATTTATCTGTACTGTCTTGCTGACCCAGGCAGCCACTCCTGAGAGGCTACGCACCAAATCTGCCAAGAAGGCCAAACTGCCAATATAAAACAAAATCTAGAAAAGTATTCTTACAATATCTAATCCTAATTTAGAAAAGAAATGCAAAGAAAAAGTGTTTTTAAAAAATGTTGATAACTAAATCAATGAAGTTAAATTATTCATCAACAAGTTAAATATAGGGCTGGGGATGTAGCTCAGTGAACAGCACCTGCCTGGCAAGTGTAAGGCCCTGAGTTCAATTCCAAAAAAGAAAAAAGAAGAAAAAATTAAATATATAGTAACCTCTAGGTTTGTTCCAGGACCCCCTCCCAGATACCAAAATCCATGGATGTTCAAGGCCCTTATATAAAATGCCATGGTATTTAGAGCCAGGCATGGTGGTACACACCTATAATCCCAGCCCTCAGGAGGCTGAGGCAGGAGGATTGTTGTGAGTTCAAGACCAGCCTGGGCTACAAAGTGAGCTCAAGGCCAGCCTGAACTGCATAGTGAGACCCTATCTCAAAAAAGACAAAAAAAAAAAACCATAAAATAAAATGTCATGGTATTTACACAGAACCTAAACAACCTTCTGTGTATGTTAACTCAACTCTAGATTACTCATAATACTGAAGATAATGTAAATGCTACATAAATGGTAATGTTCAGTGAATAATGACAAGGACGTCTGTAGGTGTTCAAGAGATACACTTTTCTTTCTCGGATACTTTCAATGTGTGGTTGAATATGGAGGGCCAGCTGCACAGGCTATCAAGACACACATACACGTGTGTTAGGGAGTTTTAGGTGCTGAAAGGGCACTGATCCCCTATTTTATAGAGAAGTTTACTACTTGTCCATGACCAGAAAATAACTACACTATCCAAGAGTTAGGACTGGGAATTTCCACTCAAAATATCCCATCAACTTCTCTTCATGATTCAAAATATTTAAGTCTCTTAAACCAGCTTTAAGGCAAAGAAACCCCCAGTTATCAGCACTAAAGCTAGGATGCTTAAGGTCTTCCAGACCCGTTCCCACAGCTGAACTGCTGAAACTGTACACTACACCCAGGGGACTCACCAGTTCCCGGATATCTTTCAGCAGCCCTTCCAAGGTAGTGAACTTGCCCCCAAGGACAGCCATTCCCAGCTCAAATTCCAGCTCTGGGATTTCCACACTACATGTTTCAGACTGTAAGAGGAAAGGTCAAATTAAGATTTAAATCAGGGGCTAGAGGTATACATAGCTCAGCGGCAGAGCACATGTCAAGCATTTGCAAGGACCTAGGTGTGATTCCCAGCATCACCAAGAAAAAGAAAAAAGCACAAAAGAAAGGGAGAAAGAGAGAGGGACGGGAGGGGAAAGAAGAGAAAGAGGGAAAAAGAAAATCAAATCAAGAACAAAGTAAGTCAATCTGAAAAATAAAGGGGGAATAGAAAGTCAATCAGAGACCTTCTGCCAAATTAATACCACCACACCACCAGTAACAGGCTGGGGACATCAGCTGTCCCAGTTTTCTCTGACTTCCCAGGTAAAATTATAGACTCACTCCTATCCATCTGAGCCACTGAAATGAAACCAACTTAATAAGAAATTCTGAGTCAAAGCTCCACACCATCAGGTACCCTGTCACTAGAGGTCAGACAAACGGGCCTGTGTAGTCACTGGAAACAAAAAGCTGCCTACCAATGAATCAGAAAGAGCCTTTGGGCTGCCTTCTGAATCTGCAATTCCAAGCCTGTTTTAATCTACTCAAGAATCCTCAAAACAAGAAAAGCAGGTACCATGTGCCCCTGCATGTTACTTTTAAAAGACAAGACAACTTGGGGACACTTTCCCAAGCAGGCTGTTACCTTGAGGAGGTCTCTGGTCATGTCTGACAGATCTGTGATGTGGAGGGTGATCCTGGTACCCAAGGGCTCCACTGCTCCTCCAGATTTCACCTGCACAGACAACAGTCAGGAGCAGCAGCAGCAGAGAAAAGACCCCAAGTCTCACCTGGTGCTGGGAAGCCCAAGGACTCAAGTGGGCCTGGGCCTCCTCTCTAGCCACTGACAGTTCCTTCAACCCAAACCAACAATGGCAGCAGTAACCCAAACATTGAGAGCTGGCAGGAGCAGGATGCTCAGCCCCTCAAGCATGTCAAACTTAGCCCAAATTGCCAAGAAACTCTGGATTTACCTTTTAAAAACAGTATGACTCTTAGATGTTGACTTTAAAGCATTTACTCTACTCTTTTACCGTTCCATCCAATGTATGGATCCCCTTTGTAACATTCTGGTCCAAGAATTTAACTAGTTTATGCTCAAATATATGTGGGGAAAGCCCAATTTTCAGACAACTCTATTAAATTCATTATGGAGTCAAAATATGCTGAGAGGTGGGTCAAAAGGCTTCTCTCTTCCACATACCAACCTTTCACATGTCTAAATGAGTTATGGTACCTCTGACGTTTCTTCTCTAGGGTAATTCTCAGTTCTTTCAAGTCTTCCTCACCCTCGCTGAGCCTAAGTGAAAGCCCCAGCCCACCCCATTTGCCATCCTGAAGCAGATCTAGGAAGAAGTTACAAAGGGGTTACCCATAAGCCAGTCTTCTTTCCAAACGATGGCGTTCACCCACCTCATTGGTCCGATGACCACAGTTCTCACAGATGGTGGCCATGATGATAACCTCCTTAAAGTGGGGGATTTCTGGAAGATGGAGTTAAGGAAATCTGCTTCCAAGACAGCAAGACCACCCACTAGAGAAAAACAATGCCAAAACTCACACAAACACGCTGGTCCCATGACTGCAGGAAACATAGCACAAGGCATCCCAAACCCGAGAGTCCTCTCAAAGACAGCTCTCTTTCCTGCTCACAGTAGCTCCTGTTTACAAATGTTTGAAGTCATGGTTCAGGCCACACACAAGAGCCACCAGACTATAGCTAAGTTTTTTCTTTGATCTCAACAGCCAAGGTACAGTCTAATCAAAGGCAACATCCTCCTTATCACAGGGAATAAAGCACGTGCTCCTTTGGAAGGATGCTTCCAGCCTACATATAATTTCCATGCCTGAGTCAAAAGAAAAGCAACCCAACTGCTTGACAAAAGATACGTACTAGCTTCATGTTGGTCTGAGCTGGGGCATTGCATTCCGGGCAGTTTGTGTTGAACTGGAGCACCTGCAACACAATATGGGGACACAGTATGAGCCCTCTCTGGCAGGACACTCAGGTTACAGACATTCAGTTGGGATACAGGTTGTCACCCATGTTGGTGGTGACAAAGAGACACTGCCAAGCATCAGTCTCAGCGACAACTCTATTCCTTTCTCAACAGCAGCCAACATGACTCACTTCATTTCTGAGATCTTCTTCTTCCAGCTTTTCTTCTGGTCCTTCGGCCTAAAAGAGCAGAGATACAAATCACAAGTTGGCAGGTAAACCTTGGCATCCCCAACACCCTGCCCTGGAGTGGAAGAAACACCTTTTGCTTAATTCTATTAGGCATCAACTCAGGCTACACAGAGAAACCGAAGGCAATGCCCCAGTCAGGGGAATAAGGCTCGAGACAGGCTCAGAGCCACTGCCACCCTTTCTGTAAAGTTTACCCTATGTCCTGAAATGAGCTAGAAGACAGAAACAAACAGGCGGAGACAGGGTATGTAAATAGGGCAACTAAATAATGTCCCATTCAGTCCAAGAAACCCAGAGTGCAAGATAATTCTGAGCTATTCTTATGGCCCTTTAGTTCACTTACTTGGAGCCCCAGCGTCTCATTCTGCTGTAGGGTCCGGCGGTAGTGTGTGATCACCAGGGAATCATCTTTCTGGGGAGCATGCGGGTTTTCTACAAAGCTATTCCCCGAGGGATCATCGATGATCTAACAGATGAGCCAACACATATTCACTGCGTAAGAACTCACACACAACCCTCCACCTACCACCAGAATAGAACAGAAAAATCCCAGGAAGTCCCAGTGTCTCTCCCCCATTAAACCAAAAGCAACTACAGTCCCTTATTACTTACCAGGGTAAAAGGGGAGGCCACTTGCTTCAGCTCCTTCAGTTTGACAATGAACTCATCAATTCTTTCAGCTACGGCTTCTTCACTTGCCTGCCATAAACAGAATACTTCATGCCCAACTCCATCATGCCCATGTCAATTCTTTCAGAAGGTCAACACCTGTCCTAATAAGTGGAAATCGAGTGCCTCAGACTTCACAAATACAATAAACAAGCCTGAAGAAGATGAGTGATTCCAGGGCAGCCTCATTATCTCACTTATTCCACCAATTCCAATTACCCTGACACAGGATACATAAATAGGGCAATTAAATAATGTTCCATTGACTTCAAACAACCCAGAGTACAAGACAATTCTGAGCCATTCTTATGCACTCATGCCAGGTTAGGGGTATAAGAGTAAAAAAATCACAATTTTTTAAGAGGGTTCCCTAGCCAGTCAGGAAAACAGATGACTAAATATGCAACGATATTATTTCTGTAATAATAAGTATAAGACACAAACAATGGAATATCCAGGAAGCATAGATTACCCAAAAGGAATCAGTAAGAACTCTTCAGAGTTAATTTACGCTGACTGAGATGAGGTCTGGCTACACTGGGGGAGGGTCACAGAAAGGACAGTAAGTACATTTGCAACAACCTGGCAGCTACAAGGCCACCATATTCTTTGCAGGAAAAAAATTACCCAACATTCATTCAGACAGATCAGTTACAGAGAAAGCTGAACACTCATATTCAGCCACATAAGCATTAATTCCTTGAACTGCTGCAGTCAGAAGCCCAGCTCACCCTTCGCGTGGGCTGGTCCTGCTCCAGGCCAGAGATAGTGCGGTTGATCAATCCTTCAACAGTGGTCAAAGCTTGTGAATGAGAACAAAAACAAATGAGTCTTAGCTCTGCTATCAAGCAGCTGTATGACCCTGGGCAATTCAGCTGAACTCTGAGCCCTGATTTTTTCATTTGTAATAGGAGGCCAGGCACTGGATTCTATTAAACTCTGATAAAAATGATGCCAAAATTCTAAACTGGCTCAAGCTGTCTGACCACGTTAAACCATGAAAAGCTCTATGAGTATATGGTCAAGCGCATATACAAGCCACTAGAGTTAGCCCCAGAGATTCTGTAAGAAAATGGGTGAGATTCCAGGTATGTGTGAACAGCCCAAATAGTCTGACCTTAAACTTACCTCCCTTCTGGCTGAAAGCTGGAATTTCGAAGTCCAGCTCAGGGATCCTTGTGGTGGCAGAATCAGTCTTCACCACTTCTCTGTTCATGTCCTGGGCAGAAGGGAAAACTCTGGCCCAAAGGGATCAGCGGTACAGCTTCTCCTCAGGACTCTCCCCGCTCCATCCCACCTCAACTCAGCTAGTTCTCCCTCTCCACTCTGGTGCATCCAGACAACTCCTTCAAAATAATACAGCTGGTGGGCTGGGGATTTAGCTCAGCGGCACAGTGCCTGCCTGGTAAGCACGAGGTCGTGAGTTCAATTCCCGGTATGGGGAAAAAAAAATAAGGATGGTATACTGCCCAAATGAAAAGACTTATCTATCCATAGTAACTCCTGATCGTTCCACACTCTGACAAAATTCACAAAGCACTTTCACAAATCTTACCTCACTTGGGCAGATGACCCTTTGGAAACACCATTTTACAAAGAAAGAAACTAAGGCTCACCCACAGGTCTGGCAATCTCGACCACACAGAACTGGCACTCCAGTCCTCATGCGCTCTCAGGGACACTGGAGCACCTGCTCTGGGTTCCTCTTACCTCCACACTACTGACGGTCAAAGTGTAGCGCACTCCCTGGTCCTGGATCCTGCCTGCCGATTGGATCTCCGTGTTGTTCCAGCCACAGTGCTCGCAGGAAAAGGAGCTCACGATTATTTCTCTGAAGAAGGGGATCTTGGTGAGCAGGAGGCGCGTCGTGCCCTGGGGAAGCAAAAAACAGGAGAACGAAAAACAATCAATGAAACTCCCGTTCCCTGTCCCAGTCCCGGAGGACCTAGGTGACCAAACTTCAGCTCCTTGCCGCCCAAGCCCACCCGCCCGCGGCCGCGACCCAGCCTTACATTGCGGTAACAGTTCATACACAGCGACTCGATCTCGGTGGGCTGCTGTTCCTCGTCCTCGGCGCTGATGGGCCGGAACAAGTGCCCTGTGGCTGGCGGCTGGGCCGGGGCTGGGGAGGGAGCCGCGGTAGCCCCCAGGGGCCCGGGCTCCACAGCCCCACTAGCTGACATCGCCCCACGCGTAGCTCAGATTTTCACTTCCGGCTTCCGTTGCTCTCGAGGTCCCGCCCCTTCCGGTGCTTCGTGACCCTATTTCCGGCAGCTGCTGCCCCCACACCCCCCACACCCCTTCTTTAAAGAGCCACAGACTCTGGCCCCTCCCTGAACTGTGTCTGATCTGGCCTTCCGGCTCCTGGGGCTGTGCGACCCGGATATGCTTAGCCCTCCGGATCCTTCCTAACTCAGTGGTCATTTCCCGGAGGGTGTGCGCTCGGGTCCTGAGCAGTTTTTTGCTCCTTTGCAATTGCTCCCGCACATAGGGAGCCTGAGGTTGGTCCATAAATCTGTCTATGAGAGCCGTGACCGGAAGGGGACTGACATGTTTGGGAATCCCGAGGAGGTGCCTCCGAACTGGCCTTGCTTTGGTCCATTGTGCCAGGCGCTGCTTGGCCCACCTCTGTCGAGCTAGGAGCCCCTGACCGTGTCACTCAGCCGCTGCCCCGCCTCAGACCCGCAATCCATAACTCCCTTTCAGTTCCGTTTTCTTAATAAGCAGCTCCCCAAATTCTGGCATCAAATGCGCAAGCCTTGTTTTTCACCCCCTCCCTTCATTCCCATCACATCCGACCTTAGCTGACTCATCTGTCCCTGTTTCTAACTAACTACAGAAACACTCTTCTTTGATAAACTTTTCTTCCTCACTCTTCCTCCCCTGCCCCGGAGCCACAATTCAGTCCTGTTGCTGAAAGTGGCTAAATCCGGGGTGTCAGGGATAACCAGTCTTCAGGCGTGGAGCCCAGGTGGAGTCTGTGCTAGAGGAGGCTCAGAGAAGCCTGTGCAGCCTGGACTGAGCCCTCTAAGCTGGGGGGACAGGGCAGTCCAGAGGGAAAGGAGTGAGCTTACTTTTTCCTCTTCCCACTACCCATCACCAATTTCAGTTTCTAGATTTTTGATGCCCCCCAAGTGAATGTGTGCAGGGAGGAAGTAAGTGATTGTGGGTCCCAAGAAAAGGCTAGTCAGAATCTGGAACAGCAGGAACAAATGCAACAGGCAACCTCAGGAATCTCAAGCCCACCGGGCCACAGCTCCTGCAGGAAGCATGTGTCCCATGCACACCATCTTTGGTACCCAGGCTGTTGAATAATGCAGACACAGATGAAGAGTTACTCGCCCAGGCCCCCTCGGCACCCACCCTCCACACACACCTGGTGTGACAGTCAGCTGTTGTCTAGCCAGAAGCCCTGAAGCAGAGTCCAGCCAGAGCCAGGCCTCTCTGACAGAGTGGCTGAATGAGAAAGGGACGCAAGGGACTGGAGTGGGTGACGGGTGTGCTTTAGGGACAGTGGCCTCATTCTCAGGCAAAGAAGAGTCACACCAGGCAAAGAAGCTTCCATCATAAGCATCTATTTCATTTGAGCAGAAGTCTAGACTTCAGTCTGGGAATCAGGAAGAAGGGGCTGGAGCTGAGGAGGGCACATACTATGCTCTCCAGATGATTTTAAGAAGCCCCCTCAGTTTGGAGGGCTTGGTCCCTTACTTAGGTGCAGAGCTATATTCGGAAATACAGATCCTGCCCCAGCCCATCACTGTCCCCACCATTCACACCCACCAGCATCACAGCCAGCAGGGATAGACACACATCCTCATGTGTTCTTCCCATGTATTTTCCTCCTTGATCTCTTCGGTTGGCCCAACAAAAGCTGTCATGGTGGCCCTGGGGAAACAAGAGCTTCTCTCTATGGGCCAACTGTAGCAGTGACCAGCAGGCATCCAGAAGTGACAGGAAGCACACTTTGGGGTGGCACAGGCAGTGGCACAGGCTTCTAGTAGCATCTCACACAGGCTTGCAGATATACGGTCTCTCTCCCTCCCTACTCCCTCCGCCCCTGAATATTGAAATTCCTGAGAATGACCAAATGAGTACGGAAAGCTGGTTTGCAAAGCCTAGTGAGTGTAATGCATTTGGATGGGGAAGTCGAGGATGGTTATGCCAGGGACAGCACCCCCTGGTGGCCTCACCTCTCCTGCACAGAATCCTCCACCCTCACCCGGCAGGCCATGGAGAAGCGCAAGTGTTGGGCCTCTCAGACCAGGAGCTAGGGAGTGAACCAGCACATGTCGGCCCTCAGGGTTCTCCCAGATCTCTGTGGCTCTGGTCATGAAGGCTGTAGGTGATGTCTTCCCACAGATCGTCAAGACGGGCCTGCAGCTTACTCAGGGCCTTGCCACCATCCGCTTCTGGGAACTCAGGGGCAAAACCAATGTGGCCTGGTGGGGGTGGCGCCAGCTGCTGGTGGATCTCCTCTGTCTCATGGTCAATGGCGCGTGTGAAAGCGGCGATTTGCGCGAAGGTGTCCTGGCGGAAAGCCTGGAGTCGCTGGCGCACTTCCTCGGAAAGCAACTGGGGGTCCAGGCTGGCCCCCTCCTCAGCCCCGTCTGTGCTGGTGCGGACAAAGGCACTGAGCCCTTTGCCTAGCTGGTCCAGGTTCTGCTGGATGCCCGCGTGCAAAGCCTTGGCCTTGAGCGTGAGCTTGTGCGAGAGTGCCTGAACACAGCGGCTGAGCCGGACTGGGCTGGCAGCAGCATGCGGGGCCACGCTGCGGTGCAGTTCCTGTACATGGCGCCCGATGCCGCTCACCAGGCGCTCGGCGTACGGGTGGAAGAGATCTTTGACACGGCCGGTATGGTGCAGCACGCGGCTGGGCATGTCTTGCAGCAGGCCCAGTGCCTCGTCCATGCCGCCCAGCACCTGGGCTTTTGTACCTTCCCCAACCACACGCAAGTGCTCCTGCAGCTCCTGTACACGCAGGGCCACCTGTTCCATTAGCTCTACTGTGTAGGGCTTCAGCTGCTGCCGCAGCCCCTCCAAGTTAGAGCCCACCAGCTTGTGTACCTCTGCCATGTAGGGCTGCAGGCGAGCCTTCACCTGCTCCAGCTCCTCCTGCAGCTGCTGCCGCACATCCTGGGCTGGGGCCAGCTGAGGACGATCCTTCACCTGCCCACTCAGGGAGCCCAACTTCTCCAGGAATGTGTTCATATTGCTGAGTTCCTGCTTGAGGCTGTCCTTGAGCCTCCTGGGGAAGAGGACAGACCATCAGACTGCTAGCCCCATCACCTCTTTTGCCCTAGGGACCTCGGGCACTGATCCGGGGAAACCAAGGTTGTGCAGTGGGGTGGTGGCTCCCAGACTTAGGCTCTGTAGTCCTCACCCTCACAGACAACAGCAACTCCACACAGAGAAGCACAAACACATTGCAGGTACAAATACAGAGCTAGGGAGTGTTTGGTGCCCAGCCCCCATGGACAAGAAGACAACAGCCGTAGGAAGGGCAGGTGGAGGGGTCAGAAACAGTGCATCAGGGTCAGCTATTTCCTCTCCTCCTCCTCAACCCCTTGCCCTAGCTACTCACACGTGGTCCTGGGCCTGCTGCTGGATCTGCTCCATCACACCCTTGTTCCTGATGCTCTGGCTGAAGTAGTCCCAGAAGCCTTTCCTTGCCTGAGTGGCTGAACACACTGTGGGAAGGGTGGGATGGTTAGGGCCCCTCAGTTCAGTCTCTACCCATGTGCCCATGTTGATGTCAGGTTGTGGACTGACCTGAGAGCAGGGCCAGAGCCCAGGTGAGGACTGCAGCCATGTTTGCCATATGCACTCTGAGAAGGAAGATGAATGGAGGCCAAGTCAGAATGAAGAAGCAGGGCCTGGGATATAGCTCAGCAGCACAACGCCTGCCTGGGAAGCACAAGGTCCTGAGTTCGATTCCTGGTACCCCCCCAAAAAAGAACGAAAAAGCAAAGGAAAAAAAGAAAAACCTTGTTCTATGGGGCCACTTGCCCCAAATCCTGTTAACCCTTTCCTGAGGTATAGGAAGCAGAGAATTATTAAGACTCAGAGACTGACCTCAGTGGATCAACCTAGGTTAGGAAGGAAAAAGTATCTTCCCCAAACATGGAGCAGGGCTCTCTTTTCTCATCTCTGTCACATAGCAGGGAAGATGGAGCTCTGTCTTCCACTGGTTCCCCCACCACTCTGCTCCTCAGAACCTAGAACCCAGGCACCAGGATCAGCTCCTTAGCTACCTTATGTGTTTTCCTGTCCCCATTTCATGGCCAGGAAAACTGAGAAATATGGGGGCAAGCAACTCTGCCAAAGTCCTCAAAAGGATGCCTTAGATCCCGCCCCCAGTTCTCCAGAGGCCCCCTGCAGTCCCCTCCCACAGGACTCCTATCCCCACCATCAGCCCTGGTGCCTACCTGCTCAGTTCTGGTTGCAGAGAGCAGATACTCTGCTTTATACTCCAGGGGCTCCAGCCTCTGGCAACAGTTACTTTAAGCAAATACCACGTGGAGGTTCAAAGAAGGATGACCTCAGTTGCCTCCCAGAGCTTTCTTCCTGTCCTTTTTGGCACCCAGAGGGTTAATCAGTTCCCTGGTATCAGGGACTGCCCCTGTAGAGAAATGTTTCCTGGAACCTTTACTAGGAATGAGGCTAAACTCACCCAGTTCCCCCTAACCCCATGACCCCCAATCTCCTACTGACTTGCTGCCCAGCCCACCAATAGACACAAGCCTGTTTGTCTGCCAGGGGCCCGTGCTCTTACTCAACTCCCCAGAGCACTCTTCCCCAGCCAGCTAGAGGGATAGTATTCAGCTGCCAGCTGGAGCCTAAGCACCCCGTGACAGCTCCAACACATGCTACTCAGGCAGCCTTGGAAGAGCCAGCAGTTACGGAGTTAAAGACTGTCACGTTGCCTGATTTATAAAATAATTTTGGATCAAACAGGGCAAGCCAGGCAGGTGAAGATGAGATGGTAACAGTGTCTGGGCCAGGGACTGTCGGCCCAAGGGATTGGAGCAAAAGGACTGTCCTCATAGAGCAAGGCTGAACTCCACCTCGGGGACTCTGAGGAGGGAAGCCCAAAGGCCCAGCTCTTTCTCTGATGACAGACTCCCTCCGTATACTTACACGCTCAAATTCCTAAGCTCCTCCTTGCTCCTAAAGGTACCTTGAATGAATCCTGTCCGGCCCGTTTCCACCAGCACCATAGCCCAAGTTGTCTCTCTTGCCTGCACTTATAATCTCCAGTGGATCTTCTCCCAGTCCTGCCCTGCGTCCATCCTCTTCTGTGGCTCATCCCAACCCACTTCCAGTCTCCTCCCACCAGACAAAACCTTGGTATTCCTCAAGTATACTACCTCGTTCAGGACCCTGTGCCTCTGTGCATGCTATTCTGTCTGCTTGAAAGAGCCTATCTCCTGATGGTTATGTATTCATTTCTTTCAGACTTAGTTTGTATTAGGATCGGGCTCAGCTATAAGTGAAAAAAATGAGGTGGGGATAGCTTAGAAAGAATTCTTCTCTTCTCTTCTCTTCTCTTCTCTTCTCTTCTCTTCTCTTCTCTTCCCCCACTTCCTCTCCCCTCCCCTTCTCTTCCCTTTCCTTCCCTTCCCTTCTCTTCTCTTTTCTCTTCTCTTCTTTACTCTCTTGCTCAAAGGTAAGCCAATGAGGGCTGCTTCTGTCTTATTGCACTATCATCCTCGCCAATAGGCTCATGTCCCAGTTTAGGCTGCTCCAACTCCACCCATCAGCTTCACCTCTCAGCCAGCAAGAAGGAGAAATAGAATGACATGTTCCCTCCCACTGAACACATATCCCAGGTAATGCTCTTACCACTTCTGCTGACATTCTATTGGCTACAACTGGGTCACATGGCTGCCTTTAGCTGTAAAGCATCTGGGAAATGTAGTCTTTATTCTGGGCAGCTGAAAAGGACCTCTATCATTCAGGAAAAAGAAAAGAATGAATGTGGGGGGACAATAGCAGTCCTTGCTGCACAGCTCAAAGGTCATTGTTTGTTTGTTTATTTTAGCTTTGTTGTTTGTTTGTACTGGAGGGAAAACTTCACACTGAGCTACATCCCTAGCATCTCCCAATTTTTTTAAGCCAGGGTCTCAATAAATTGGTAAATTGTGCCATGAGGGCCCAAACTTGTGATCCTCCTGGCTCAGCCTGTAATCTCAGCCTCCTGTGCACCACCTCACCCAGACTCCAAGACCACTCTGAATGCCTCTTCTGTCTTGAGCCTTCCCTGCTTTGGTGACAGGCTGTGTCTGCATTAATCACATACAACTTTGTATATTACTGTACTGCAGCACTCAATCTCATAGTACAATAATTTGTTGACATGTTTGAGAGCAGAGAATGTCAAATTCATCTTTACATTCCCCACTTGGGCACAAAGCTTACTACGCAGAAAGTTGAGAATTCAAATTCATTCATTCAGTTGCTTAAGTAGTGGAGGATGGGTAGGTTAAGTGACTTGCTCATTATCACACAGGGGAGGTACAGCCAGAACTGGACCCTGTGTTTGGCTCTGGCAGCTCTGAGCAGCAGGAGATGAGGCTAGAGGGGAAGCAGACCATGCCCAGGTCATCGAGGACGTTGTGTGAAGGTCACTTGGGAGGGTGGCTAGACGGGGGCAGGAAGACTGCTGAGGTGTCTCAGTAATCCCTCCCAGGGAGAGAAGATGAAGACTTGCAGCAAGGCATGCTGGTGAAGGCTGAGAGGAAAATGTTTACTTGAAGGATATGAAAGTAGTAGAATTATAGCATTTGGTGACTGGTTGGATGAAGGGGATAAAGTCAAAGAAAGATTCTGATCATTCCCAACTTCCTGGGAAGGTAGGTAGATGATTTTTCTCCTCGTCAACAGTGGATGGGGGCTGGGGATATAGTTCAGCGGCACAAGCACCTGCATGGCAAGTGCAAGGTCCTGAGTTCAAATTCCTGGTTTGAAAGAAAGAAAGAAAGAAAGAAAGAAAGAAAGAAAGAAAGAAAGAAAGAAAGAAAGAAAGAAAAAAGAAAGGGAGAGAAAACACACAATAGACTATAAAAAGAAAAAAAAAATGGATGCTGAGGGCAAAATGAACAGGTTGGGACAGGAAACAGGAATTTAGCAGGAGTCCTAACTGAAACCAAAGTGAGCTTTTGCAAGCACAGGGCCAGCCCAGATGAGATCTATTTGCTGAGGAGCTTCCTAAGAGAAAATTTATTTGAAAAGAGGGAAGCAGCAGGAACTACCTCCCAGTCACAACAGTTTAGTCATTAAAAGAAAAGGGAGGCTCGGTGTTTGAGAAGAATGGAGTTGGGGAGGATGGAAGAAGATAGGAGAGAGAGCCATTAAAGTTTAGATTTGGTTATTACTTCTCCCCATAGGCTGGTGTGGCCTCATGATTAAAGCCCTGCGCTGGAGATGTTATGGCAGTTGGACACAGACGTCAAGCACTGAGGAGAAGAATCTAGGCTGGACTTTGAATTTGGGAATCCTCCAGCAACAGTGACAGTGGGAGGCACAAGAGTGGAGATCACCCATGGGCAGTATGTGGAAGAAAAGAAAAGAACCAAGCTCAGAAAACACGAGTATGTACGGGAAATCTGAAGAGAAATAAGCTCTAGAGGAAAACCTTAACAACAACAAAAAATTACCAGTCTCCAAAAAGCCAAGTATTTTCCTGTATTTCCTAGACTCCTTTACAGTTGAGTTGGAGCCATGACATCAGTTCTGGCCAGTGGGGTGTGAGAAAAAATAAGTGGGTCATTTCTGGTGGAGAGCAATAGAGACTAGATCTGAGCTGGGTACAGTAGTGTGTAACTATAGGTTCAGCCTTTGCATGGCTGAGGAGGAGGAGCACTTGGGCCTAGGAGTTCAAGACCAGTCTGGGCAACATAATAAGACCCTATCTCAAGAAAACAAAATAACAAAAGAGTATACATCAGCTCTCCATACTTTGCTCCCCAAAGAGTGAAGGCAAAGCACTACAAGATGGCACTGTTGCAAGATGACAGGGTGAGTAATCTGAGATAGAGCTTGGAGCAGGACTTCCCACTAAGCTGCATCAGACTTCACATGAGTAAGAAATGAACCTCCATTGTAGTATGCCACTGAGATTTGGAGAATGTCCCCCAACACTCTCATGTGCTCAAAGGTGGGGCTTTGGAAAGTGATTGGATCATGGGGCACTATCCTCTGGATTAGTCCACTGACGAGTTTATGGTTGAATTGAGGTGAACCACTGCAGGTGTGACCTGGAAGGGTGAGTATCCCTCCTGAGCATTTCCTTTCTCTCTCTACTTCCTTGCTGCCATGCTGGGAGCCGCTTTCCCCCACCAGTCTCTTCCATCCTGCTGCTTCCACCTTGGAGCTGGCTGGCCACACATGAACTGAGACTTCTGAGTGTGTGAGCCAAAATAGACCTTTCCTCCTTTCAGATGCAGGTGTGAGACATTGCGTCCCGGTGACAGGCTAGTGACAAGACATGCTGTACAGCCGAACTTCTCTTTACTAATATTAAGAGAGCCTGACAGGAGGCAGTCAGACAACTGGAAGTACAAGCAGAAGATGTAAGATTCACAGAAAGCAAGCATAGTCATTAAGATATAAATCTGGCTCTGAGAGTGTTCCAAAATAACAGTAGATTAGAAATTACATGTTAGAAGTCTATTTCTCTCCCACTTAAAAGTCTCACTTAAAGCTGGTGTGGCAACCCTGCCTTACAAAGCCTCCAGGCTCCAAATTCCTTCTGTCTGAATTTGCACCACCCCGTGTGTCGCTCCTATCCACATGATCCAGGACAGCTCCCTACTGTGTCCACAGCCAGCCACTGGGTGGGCAGTATTCCTTTAAGTGAAAAATTTTAACTTCACTCATCCAATTAGTCAGCTAGTCACACTAGCCGTAAGGGAGTCTGGGAAATGTCAACTTCATTTTGAATAACCATGAGCCCAGTGCCCAATTAAAAATCAAGGATTTTATTCCCCTATCTTGCTGGTAGAAATGTAAAGTGTTTGAAAAACACCCTGGCAGTTCTCTAATGGTTAAATGTGAAGTTAGCCTATGACCTAGTAATTCCACTCTTAGGTATAAATGCAAAAGAAACAAAAACATATATCCATACAAAAACATATATGAATGTTCATGGCAACATGAATAATTGCCCAAGTGGAAACAAAACATCAGGAAATATTTTGTCAACAAAATAGAACAAAGTACTAAAATATTCTATGACAC